AGTGCAAATGGGAACGAGGGGTAGGGGGAGGGCGGGCGGGTGAGGGGGACTGGACTATTTGCTCTGCCGTTTCATATCATGCTAACAAGCTAATCCGGCGTGCAGTTAGCTCCTGATATATAACTGCTCATTAGTATTATAATAAAGTACATGAAACAACCATAAAACGTTATATACTGCACAAGTGTTGTTTTCTTGCCAATTATCTGCGGGCGGATTTATCACCGCAGTTGTTGCAAATTCCCCTTGGTGAGGTTTGGGTCGAATAAAGAAAGGTGTTGGTGTGAGGGGGGACTGGAGGTGTTGGTGTGAGGGGGGACTGGGGGGGCTGCTTTCAAGGGGGAAAACATGTGTTTTCTTAAGTAGCACTTACCGATGCGCCATTTCGTATGAGAGAGAGGGAGAATGCTGCATCCTTAGGAGGCTGAGACAGGAAGGGAGCCCAGGGCTCCACGTTCAAATCAAACAAACTTTTCTCTGTTAGGGAAATGGGACCAGAGCCCTAAGGATGGACTTCAACCTAGCAGAAACCAACTAAGGACAGGGCAATATCTTTTTCCTACTGCCTTCTTCTAAGGTAGAAGGACCAAGACCAGAGAAAAGTAGCTCCATTTGATGCGGAAAGGGTTTGCCTGGCACATTTGCCAGGAATGAGGCAAGTTCTTCAGAGGAGCCAAATTCATCCCAGAATCCCTGGCCAAATCCTGCTGCATCTTCTCTTTCCCATTACAGCACGAGCAGTTTGCAAGAATCGACAAACCACAGTTCCTAGCACCTCTCCGGACTGTGCACTGCTGCCTGCCCTGTGGCTGCTGTTTCTGTCCTTTCAGCCCATACCACTGCCCCAAAACTGCTCCACGGCACAGGGCTGCTGACCAGCTCTATATGCACAGAAATCTTGTGGTTCGCTATTTTACCTGGTTGGTCAGAGGACAGCATCCCCTGCCCTCCCACAGGCACAGGGGAAGTTACAACACCTGACAGACTTAAGCAGAGCGCAGTGATTTGCAGCCCTTGGTCTGTGGCCCCCGGGGGTCCATGGATTACTTCTCAGCTACCCAGGAATGCTGAACAAGAAAAGCGAACTAAGGATCAAATAGTGCTCTGCATGTGGGCTCTACACCTTAGCTGGAAACCCCGGGGCACCACAAAATGGGAAGAGGCTGAAAGCGGCTGGGAGGATGTGAATGGCAGAGCGCACACAGCAGAAGGGGGCTGCATGGGGCTGCCAGGAAAACCTGCTGCACTCACCAGAAGAGACAGGGCACCGAGTGCTAATTCCTGTTTCAGCCTGGGAGGGATGGGTGACATGGCTGCAGCCATCAGAGGGCACATGCAGGAGCATGGACTCAGGGTCCTTCACTTATGCTCTCTTAGAGTGTCTCTGACAAGACCATGGACCCTTCCTGCCCCAGAAAAGACAGGCTCCCTGCCTTTGAGAGCTGCATATTCTCCTGTCTTAATAGAAGCTGGCAGAGCTTGCTGAACATGATGGGCACTTCATCCATGCCTATGCAAAACCACCCCCCATGCTCACCTCTTTTCAGAGATGCTCTGTGCTCCCCAAACCTACTGCTTTGCATCTTGTCAGAACACCAGCATTGCAGATAGGTCCACGAGTGTGCAACAGGTACTTCTACCAACCTCAGCATCCCACTATGTCCTCACAGTAAAATACCTCTGCAACACAAACCCCCCAGCTACCCCTCCTGCTGACACTGCCTCCCAAACAAACAGCTGTGACCATGCTTGCACATCCCCTGTGCTGGCACGCTCTGACCCAGATGTGCACTGCCTGGTGTACACAAGGTTATGTTTCCAAACACTTACACAAGGCAATAGGAACACCGACATTCTCTCCTATGGAGACCCAGTGGCATAAATCCCACCCATTTTCCCCTCTTACAAACAGGGGTTATAAATGCAGCACCCCATGGGTATTTCACACAGAGCCATTCTTCCTCTCTTTTACAGACAGACACACACACACACACACACACACACACACACACACACACACACACACACACACACACGCCCCCTTGCTGTGAAGCATTTGCTTATTTATGGCTTGTTTTTGTCAAGTGGAGGCAGGACTGACAGCTCTCAGTGGTGGGGCTCTGTCTGTCTAACTCCGTAATAAGACACATGATATCCATTCTGCTGCCAGCGGGGAGTGAATCACGCCAACCCTGTCACCCCGCTTCGCCTTGGCGAACTCCACAGCTTGTTAGCATCACAATATTGGGAGCAAAATGTGACCCAGCGCTGCCATGCCCCCTCCTCCCTCGGTGTGAAAAGAGAGGGGGGAACACACACACGCTCACATCTCCACACCAAGGAAAGGCACAAATCCCCCACAGGGCTTTAAAAGGACTTTAAACCATTTTAATAAACTGATCGTAGAGGAAACACCTCCCCTTGGGAGAGAGTCGCCGAGCAAATGCCAACACCATCTCTGCCCTGCTCTGCCTGCCCCAAGGCTGCTCTGGGGCACCCAGGAAGGGGTTTTCCCCATCCTCTCTCGTGCGGCTGGCAAGCAGGTTGTGGAAGGAGCATCCCGGCCGATCAGGGTGAAGGAAGGCTACTGGGATCGACTTCCAAACCCAGCATCCCAGGCTGGGCCAGGAGGAGTCACCACAGAAGCAGAGGGACCCCAAACTCCCTCCCCAAACCCCTCCAGTCACGGGGAGGGGAACTCCTACTTACAACTTGTTCCCAGGAGATAAATAGACCTCAGTAAAAAGATTGCTACATCCTTTCAATAAAGATTTTTTCCTCTTTCCCAGACAGCTTGTGAAATGTTTTAAAAGCTTCTCACATTTCCAGTGAAACCCACAGAGAAGAATTTTGCTTGTTATCAGCCCTAGAAGAACCTGATAGACGGATGATATTTTTCCCCCTCCTTTCCCTCTCTCACACTCTCTTTTTTTACAAGCTGAAAAGAGAGTCACAGTGTGTTTTATAACCGGCTCTCTGCATTTCAAAAGCTCAACGAGAGCTCTCTGCGAACCCTGATAAGCCCAGGGCTCTTAGTGTCTTAAATACCTTTGACAAGCTATACATTACAACGCTAATAATTTGCCAAATTTGCGCCCATAATATGATATCTGTAAAACGTCAAGGGTGGTAATGCGATTAGCGGCCTCAAATGAAATATCGAACATTCAGCGTTTAGGCCCTGAATAGGGGAGAAAGGAAAGGAAATCAATTTCAAAAGCAGGAGGGAAAGAAGCGATAAGCGTGTAATAAAAAGGGAGAGGGGAGCACGGACGGGCCAGGAGAAAGAGCATCTTGTTTTTCATTCTTCCTTTTTTAAAGCATTCAAGCCTTAAAATGG